CTTCATTTCGCTGTGTATTTTTTAGTGCATTTAAATTTTTAAATTTATTAAATATTTTTGTAATCTATTTTACTTTTTTTCAAATTTGGTATCTAATTAATTTTGTATTTTCTCTTGTTTTATTTATGATAATTCTATTGAATTTTTATTTTTTTAAATCTATGTTGTTTTCATTGATTTAATTAAATTATTTAAGTATTTTATTCTAATAATTAATTTTAATTACATTATTTAATTCATTTGACTTTTTTATATTAATATAATTAATTTATTTTTTTTTAATTTTAATAAATTTTATTGCTATTTCTTATTTATATTATTTTTATATTATTTTATATGAATTCATTTTGTTTTATTTATCTTTATAAATTATATTACTGTTTTATATAACTAGTTTTTATTTATTGTTTTTCATTTATCTGATGCTTTTATTTTTATCATTTTTTTGTTATTATTGACTCATCCTCAATTGACACATTTGTCAATATATATCGGTTATATGTATATACAAAAATATTTTTACATTAAAGTAATTAACTTCAATTTAAATTATGCGTGAAAATTTAATTTAATTTTCGGAATTTTCTTTTTGCCTGTTTGGCTGTTAGTCAAGTGAACTGCGGTTTTACAATTAAATTTCCTTAGCACTGTTTCCACATGAGCGCTTAAATACAGCGCACGTGCTCCGGCTTAATAAATAATTGTGGTCATTTACTTGCATTTAAGGCAAGTACTTCAGTCACAATTAAAAAAATTATATTCATACAAGAACACTCATCTCAACTTCAGTAATCGCACACAAAGTTATCTTTCAAATATTATCGTCTTTTCGGAAAATTCCCAAAACAGAGTCAAATCAAAATAAATAACTTTAAGCCTAGAAGGGTTAATGAACAGATAAAAGAGCCAATGGAAGTGTCGATTGTCTTTACAAGAATAAGCAAAAAATAAAAAATAAATAAATAAAATAAAATAAAATAAAATAAAATAAAATAAAATAAAATAAAATAAAATAAAATAAAATAAAATAAAATAAAATGAAAAAATAAAATAAAATAAAATAAATTAAAAGGATTGCATTATTCCTTAAATAATATATATAAAAATTAATTTAAATAAATTACGAAAACCCTTGTTAAAATTTCAAATCTCTTAAAGTTTCATTCACTTTTTTATTTTTCATTACCTTTAAAATATGTATTTTTCTGTTTACATCAATTCTTAACCGTTTCGAGTGCCACTTCCCAACAGCTGTTGCACAAATAATATTCTTTCAACGACTTAACACAGAGAAATGGTGAAAATATTGCGTGCGTGTATGTATGTAATTGTAAGGAATATGAGAATGCAAGGCAATCATAAAATGTGTGAACATTTAAAATTATTGCATTACCAAAACCACTTGCTGTGATCAAGAGAGAGAGAGAGAGAGAGAGAGAGTGCACATGGGGCGATTTAAAAAAGTCAAAAGAAAAAAATCCGCAGAAGAAATTGCCAAAGTGTGAGAGACAATTAATGTAACTCGACAAGCGTTGCAGACAATAACAGGAAATACGATTATGCTTCCGGAGCAAAGGCACAGCAGTGGGAGGGAGGTGCAGCAGCAAGGAAGCGCTGCTTGAAAAGGATCATATGAATGTAATGCAATATTTGTGGCGTCAGCTGTTAGAGTGCGTGTATATGCGTGTGTGTGTTTAAGTTGATTTGTGCAAGTGTTTGCTACTCGAAGTTCGCTTGCATTATTCGTTTTGTTCTTGTGTCGTTTTTGCAAAACAGCAGGAGACTCAGCCCAGCATGTAACAGTGCGCAATAAAAAGGTATAACCAAAGAGCCTGCAAATATGAATTTATGCATGTGTATGTGTATGAGTAAAGCTCACCCGGTATTGAGTGCAATGAGAAACAAACTTCCTGCCACTTCGAGGATATATGGAAGTAGCACATTAAAGAAGTGCAGAAGTGCACTTGGAGTTGGGCGAGAGGTCACTATTGTGGTTGAGGCTTATAACATAAACTGGAGCAAGGCATATGCGAACCGAGTAATGTAATTCAAGCTTTAGGGTTTTAGTATCGGAAAAAAGACATATGAAATTCATATGTGCACTGAAAAGCATGTGGCACGAATATGAACGAAATGTGTTTGATATGCAGTACGTGTGGCATTTTTCTTTGGAGACGAGTCTTAAAGTCCAAGGAAAGTCTGTGTAAATAGTTACTTATTATTATTAAAACACTACTGCGAAGGCATTCCTTACTTTCCTCCTCTCTTTCACCATCTTATTCTGGTAGTGAAGAAAACGTTGCATCACGTAGAAATTAAAATTCCAGCAGCAATCATTGCAGTGACTTTGATTTCGCGCCAGACAAAATGAAATATATATATATAAATAACAAAGGAAGAGCTCAGTTTCGCTGGAGCCGAAGAATGAATATCCACTTAAAAGTTCGTTGTAAATGGAAAGAGAAAACTTTTATCTATTAGAATTAAGATGTTCACCGACCAAAGTGGTTTGACAGGTCTCTTTTCTAAATACTAAATATTGATTTCTTTTAATTTTTTTTTTAATTTAAGTCAAGTTGTGCTGTCTGTGTGGTTTTTAAAGTATCTGCGACTGCGGCGCCACCTATCGGTCAAATGCTCTATAGCATGAAGACGGGAATAGCAGTAAGTACAAACTAACTGTAGTCTAAAGAAAAAATGTGTTCTTGGCTATAAAAAGACACGCCAACATCAGTGACTGCAATGTAAATGCATCCCAAGGAATGCAAAAAATTAAAGAAAAGAAAATCAAAGCAACAAGAAATGAAAACTTCAATCGAAGAACAACACCAACGCTCTGTTCAACGACTGAACTGAAATGCAAGCAGCGAGCGCCAGCAATCAAGCGGCAAACCTGCAGGCATCAGTAATGCAGGGCAACTCCAAGTTGCACCTTCGCAAAAACATTCACAAACACAAACACACAAACATATACTCGTACTACGCGATGTGGGAACTTCAAAGGCACAACCATTGCACTTCATTTCTGTTAACAGCAAAAACAAAAAAAAAAACAAAAAAAAAACAGTGAGGAAAAATAAAAACGCGGGGAAAAACATTAACTGATAAGAAATGCAATCGTTGTGGAAGAAGAACAAAAAAATAAACCAAATGTGTAATGCAAAAATGCAACAGAGCGTAAGCGTCTTAAGTTTGGTGAGGGAGTAAAAATTTTTAAACAGAAAATAAAGTTAAAAGTCATTGCAGTAGTGCTGCTTTGCTCCATTCCGTCTGAATCGTGCTGGTGGGGGTGGGGATGGGGAGTTGCCGGCAGCCATAAAAGAAATGTGTTAATGAAAAAGTGGCAAATGCTATTTCACTGTTTGTGGCAGGTGCTAATGAGTAAGCGAACGAACGAAGACGACGAACCAAAGTAATGACTAACAAAAAAAGGTTAATAAAGTTGTTTAAAGTATGAAATTGGCTCTTAAAGGGAAGTTGATGGGAATAAATTACAAGAGCAGAGGGAGTTTTTAGGAGTTAATTGAAAGAATATGCCCTAAACGTATTTATTTTGAGAGTCCTTGGTGTGTAGGAGCAGCAGTAAAGGCACTGAGGTTGAGGTTGTTATAAAAATACTTACTTTTTGTGGAATAGAACTGAGGTCACATGCAAAAATGAAACAGAGCGTAAGCGTTAGTAGAGAATTATTGTTCCTACTAAATGCCCTCGAATTCTTTTCAAAATGAAGTGGTATTGGGAAAATATATTCTTCCTTGCAGTTAAGCTGATGTTGCTCCCCCCAAATGAGTTTTAAATTACTAATTCCATACATATAAGTGACTCTGAATGATTTTAGTGTCTATTATATTCTACCCATTAACATTTATAAGGTGTTCCAGTATATTATTTATTATCTATTGGCTATGATCCCTTAGAATTTATTTTTTATTCATTATTCATTATATCTTATCCCTTATCTATTATCCGATATCCATTACTCTTACTTATCATCCCCTACCTAATGTCCTTTATCCGCTATCCAGTTTCCATACTTCTTATCTATTTCCCATTATCTATCATCCGATATCCGTTATCCATTGTCCGTCATCCATTAGCTTTTATCCATTGTCAATGAAGTATTGCCTATTGCCTGTTGTCTACTATCCATCATCCCTCACCAGACATTCGTTATCCATTATCCGTCAATCCATTATATATCTAATATTCTTTATCCACTATCCAGCTTCCATACTTCTTATCGATTATCTATTATCCTATATCCGTTAACTATTTATACATATTCCATTATCCATTGTCCGTGATCCATTAGCTTTATTCATTTTCCATTATCAATGAAGTATTGCCTATTGCCTATTGTCTACTATCCATGATATATTATCGACTATGCATTACCCGATATCTATCATCCGTTATCCATTATCTATGACCTTTTAAGAATATTCTATTATCTACTGCCTATTGGCCACTCTCCCTTATAAATTATCCATCAGCCAGTCTGTTCGAAAAGAGTGCTGAAACGAAATTTAAATGTTATCTGAGATTAGAAAAGAAAGTAAGGAGATGTTAATCTTTCTTTACCTTCCTTCAACCACCTTTCCAATTGTATTTCCATTGTCGAAATATTCCCGAAAAGATAACCCTCATTACGACGGATAGTGAACTTTTGGTTATCATGTTATAGGAACTTGTTCGGATGTAAATCGTCGTTGCCCCTCTTGTAAGGTTTGTAAGTGCTCACTATCCCATTTTCCCTACTCTCGAAACGGTCTTATACAAGAGGACGATACTTTCTGCTCGACTCTCCTGGCAATATGGCACTGAAGTTAAAGGAGAATTTCAGAACTTTGTTGTGTTACTTGGCATAAAATTTAACCGCCTTAAAGCTATCTAATCAATTATTGGGTCAGCTACTTTAACCTAACCTCAACAGTTTTTTTGCATTCCATGTTTGTAATCACATTAAATTAATCTCTATATCATCTCGTTCTTGCTTTCAGCAAATCTCATTGGCATTGATACAATTCATCAGCAAACACTCTCTGGCCAGGAGATGGATCAACTGAATGAACATCAGCTGGACAAGGTTGCCAATAATGTGAGTGTTTTCTATCGCGTTACACCACGCCACAAGCTGGCGATTGTGAAATCCCTACAACGCACGGGAAATATTGTCGGCATGACCGGCGATGGTGTCAACGATGGTGTTGCTTTAAAGAAGGCTGATATTGGCATAGCTATGGGCAAGAATGGCACGGATGTATGCAAGGAAGCTGCCGATATGATACTAGTCAATGATGATTTTCATACTATAATGTGAGTAAATGGTTTGAGTTAGTCGGTTTACTAGATAGGGAGCTGACTGGTAATGGGATTAAAAGCTGGTGGTGGGCTTAAAGCTTTATTTTGCATTCATCGAAGTTTGAGAAAATCTCACATAAATTACTGTTGATTGTTTTGTAATCCAATGACTTTTTATTCTCTATTTTATAACTTAGTGCCGCCATCGAGGAGGGAAAAGCGATTTTCTACAACATTCGGAATTTCGTACGTTTCCAATTGAGCACATCTATCGCCGCTCTCTCATTGATCGCACTCGCAACACTCATGGGAATTGCCAACCCTTTGAACGCTATGCAAATACTCTGGATCAATATCATTATGGATGGCCCACCAGCGCAATCGCTCGGCGTCGAACCCGTCGATCATGATGTACTCAAGCAAAAGCCACGCAACGTCAAACAACCGATGATAACGAAATCAGTGATCGTGAATGTACTGCTAAGCGCTAGCATCATTGTTCTCGGCACGTTGTGGGTATTCCAGCGTGAAATGGCCGATGGTACGATGGGTAAAACGAAACGCGACACCACCATGACATTTACATGTTTCGTCTTTTTCGATATGTTCAACGCATTGGCGAGTCGTTCGGCCACTAAGAGCGTTTTCAAGATCGGCTTGTGTACGAATCGAATGTTCCTACTCGCTGTTGGTTTCTCGATTATCGGCCAAATGTTGGTCATCTATTTTCCGCCATTACAAATGGTATTCCAAACGGAAGCGCTCTCTGCCTACGACATACTATTTTTAGTGTCGCTCACATCGTCGGTGCTGATCGTGGCGGAGATTAAGAAGTGGTTCGAACGCACAATGGAACGTAAGATGTACAAGACACGCTCCGAGTTGGATTTCGTATGACAAAAAGCAAGCGCTGGAAGAAAATCGTCAAACGTTAAGAATGATTAAGCTTAGCAAAGTACACACAAACAAACAAACCACAAACAAACAACACACAGCAAGGTGCAAAGGACGGAGTGAGTGAAGTGTGCAGCGAACAGAACAGAACACAGGGCGGGCATACAAGGCGGTTTGCCGCAAAAGTATGGAAAGTGGGGTTAGACATGAAAAAAGAAAGAGAAAAATTAAAAAAAAAATCGAAAATGTTTAGGGTATATTGGGCGTGTAAGTTTAAGTGAAATCAACAAGAGAGCAATGCATATGAAGTAAACTAAAAAAAAAAGAAAGAGAGAGAGAGAGAGAGAGAGCAAAACTAATACACTACTTTAAAATGTCTCTTTATCTTTATCTTCATACATGGTTTACTTTCCTTTTCGTAATTAGTTCGTATATTTAAGTATACTAAGGCGAAGTGACGTATAAGTGAGAGAATTTAGTTAACTAGCATAAACAAAAACAAAGAAATGGCGAGCAATTGGAAGGAAGACCGTTCAAAGTGAGGCAATGTGCTGAAAGTGTGCGACAGAAAACAGCGAAAACAAAGCAAAGCAAGCAAAAAGAGTAGTGCAATTAAATAATATTTTAAAATAACTAAAATCAATGGTATAAAAAAAGACAATATTTCTGGAAAAAATATATTTTTCTGAAAAATTGTTTTTAAACAAACTAAAAAAAAATATTGGGGCTAAGACAAATATTGTATTCAAACTTCTGTAAATTTTTTTTAAATAGATTGTCATAAATTTAATATAATTTTTTAAAGTCAATACTTCATTTATTCATTTTTTTCTATTTAATTTAAAATTTTCAGCAAAATGTTGTTTTGCACAATTTGTATGCAGAATTTTCAGTAAAAAAAAATGCTTAGCTTTTGTTTTTCAAAATACATTTGAAGCTTTAAGTTTTTTAAGTACTTCTACTGCTTTTGTTGGCATTCGCTTTAAGAGTGTTTCTCAGTATTATTAAGAAACTAGTAGAATTATAACACACAAATGTCGAATGCTCGAAATTATTATTTTGGTATTCTTTTCTTTTTCCTCGAAGTTTCAATAATTAAATTAAATTATTTTAAAAATTTTAATAAATAATTAATTGCAATTTATTTTAAATAATGTTATTTTTAATTAATTCTTTATAAATTCTTTATTTTCTACCAGCTCCTTGTTAGTTTTGTTTAAAAAGATTGCGCCGCACAACACTGTCTAAGTCGCTTACATTTAGTTAAATAAGTTAGTTGTTAAATTTTTTTTTTAAAAATCTGCAATTGACATAAATTTGAAGATTTTTATTTTAGAAATATTAAAATTTAATTTAACTTAATTTTTAGTTTTTATTTTAATAATATTGTGCTAAATACTTTTAATGCAAAAATACTTGGAATCATTTCTAAATAAAAAATAAATAAAATGTTACATGCAAAACAGAAACACAGGGAGTAATTTTAATACATAAATTAGCATAATAAATGCCAATAATAATAATAATAATAGTTTTACTTTAATAAAACTGAAAATGATAGTATTTTGTGCCTAAGAATTTATTAAAATATAATTTAATTCAATTTCAAACATAAATTTAATGTAAAAACCACTCAATAATAATAAATTTAAAAATTTAATAATAAAATCCAATTTAACAACTTCTCATACTAAAAAAAATATAAAATTTTTTTATTTAAATTCTAAATCCAAAGAAAGTCTACAGTAATTAAAAATTACATACAATTTTTGTAGTTGAAAAAGCTTTTGGAAATTTTAATTAAATTTAATTTTGAGCACAAACTTAGTCTGAAAATCGCTCATTTTATTAAAACAGTATACAATAATCAATAATAAAAATTTCAAAATCTATAATAATTAAAACTAAATACAATTGTTTGTGGGAAAACAATTTTCTCCTACAAAAAATTTGGTAATTTAATTTCATATAAATAAATTTTGAATTTCATATTTTGAATTTTAAATTTTCATTTAATACAATTCAGCACAACCAATTTAATCTAACAAATTCTCGTCAAATTAGCCAATATTAATAAGTAAGATTTAAATACAATTTATTGTGGTAAAGAAAAAAATTGGATTAAAAATAAATTTGGTGAAAAAATTTTCATAAATTATTAGAAATTTTCAAATTGAATTTTATTAAATTTTACATAATAATTTAATCTAACAACCGCTCATTAATACAAAAATATAATAAACATTTCAAAAAAAAAAACTTAAAAAATAATAGAAAATATTTTTTTTTAGAATTACTCTGTTTTCATCAATATTTCGTTATTTTTTTTATAATACTTTTATACATACAGAGTCAATTGTCAAGAGTTAGATGTAAACAAAAATAATAGAAGTATTATTTCCGTATTTAATTGACTGTAACTGCTTCCAAGTATGCCGAAACATTCGAATATTCTTTTATACAATATTTTAGTCGTTTCTGAGTATTTGAATTTTAGCTTCAATATTTCAGAAAATGCTCTGCTAAACAACTAATATTAATATTTTACTTTAAATTGATTTGCTTAATATTTCATAGTTTTTCTTCTTTTTTGTTGTAATTGATGTGATATTAAATTAAGCGCTCGATTTTTTTGTTTCGTAAAATAGTTCATTAAAAAAAGGTAATTAAAGAAATACTTAGGTAGTTACGCCCACTTGTAGTTTAAATAATTTAATTTAATTTAATTTTAATTTAATTTTAATTTTCATGCTATTTATTATATTAAGCAAATGTAAATAAATTTAATTACTACTACAAATATTTAGTTTTATTTTAAAAGAAAAAAAAATACAAAAATAACAAAGACAACATTATTATTGTTTTATTCTTTCATTTAATCTGTTTTATTTAAATTTTGTCTTGCAAATATGAGTTTTCACCGCATCTAAAAATCTCTAAAAAATATTTTTAGTTTTTTCTTGTGTTTAAATATGGTCTCTGCCATCTCTGCGGCAATATTGCACTACTCTCCATGCGCTTGCTGAGAAATTACCGTATAAAGAGCGTCAACCCTCAACACACAAAATATTGAAAAAAAAAAAAAATTAATTGTGATGGAAACCAAATTTACCCAATTTCCTCTCCTAACCTCCCAAGCAAGTAACCCTCTAGGACATGTATTTTGGAACTAGTCAGCAAGCAGGCAGTTGGTTGTGCTTCGTTGTGTTGGTATGCGTGTGCGTGCGTTCGTAGTTGTTTGCAAGCGAAAAATTTATAATTATTCTGAAGAAAAGTAGGAAAACAACAAAATTTGATGATTTTATGAAAAGCATTAACTTCTAGCGCTGAGTTTATTAACAAAAAAAAAAAAATAATAATATTAACAGATTTGACAAAATTAAAATTTGCGTTTCATTTGCAAAAGTGAATTTATTTACGCGAAGCTTTGGTGAACAAACATAATGAAATAATGAGAGAAAAGTGTTTTGGAAAATAAATAAATAAGGAATATTAAATAAAAATAAAGAAACTTATAAATAACCGAAATAAATCCCATAAATTTCTAAAAACGCATTAAAATTCAATTTTTTGTGTGTAAAAAATAAACAAATTTTTTCACAAAAAAAATATTTGGTGAAATTTTGTTTAGTAAATATTTTGAAAGAAAATACAGCGGAAATTCAAGCTGATTTTTCGACACTAGAAAGTCGCGATGTTACGCATTTTTTGAAAAAAAAAAAAAAAAAAAAAAAAATGCAAATTACGTTTCGGTTATCTGATTACATATGGTTTTCAGCTATAGCAATTATTTATAAAATATTTAAAAAAACATAATTGAAATGAGTAAAAAATAAATAATTATATAATCATACAATAAAATGTAGAGGACATTAGAGTTGTTGGCCCAAAGTCATTATAGCCAAAAGGCAAATAATTTTTCAAGTCATTCTAAATAAAATATATATACATATATCTACGTACAATTAAAATTTTTTAAAAATTATTACATATATAGTCAATAATGTGTTTCAAAAGGAATTTCAAATATTTTTGCTTTAGGCAGACAACTAAAATTATACGGGTAACACAAAAAAAAAAAACAAAATTATATATACATACATAGTATATGCATATATACTTGTATCAAAAAATATTCAGATGCCGGCTAAAAATATCGAGAAATATTTAAAAAAAAATTTTATTTCTGTAATTAAAAAAAAAAAATAGCATATGTAGTTTCAAAACTTCTTAAATGAAATCTGCATTCAATTGGATCTTTTCGTTCAACTCTTTTGCTTCAGCCTGAGATTTATATCCAGCACCTTAACAACTTCTAATACTCTCAGAGAGCACTAATACTGTATTCGATAGACTCAAATGCAGACCTACATATGAATTGTTCATGAATTTCCATGAATTCCACAGCCGCTACTAGTCAAGTCTAATAATGTCCAAAACACGATATAAAAAAAATCGAGAATAATATTTCATCTCCTTCTTATCGTAGTTTCGCATTTCTATTCGATACTAAATCACTAAAAATAAACTAAAAAACATAAATAAAAAATTGAATAAAAATGAATGGCTCTTCTGCAAGTTTCTTAAAACTAAACCCTCTACCGTGAATTCGAAACTGTCACAGTATTCTCAAAATGCACTCTTAATGCCTCTACATTTCTATGAAAAAAAAAAACAGAATAGTATACAGAACTAGTAACACACATTATCAAACACCAATATAATTAATCAAAAATAGTGAAAATAAAATAAAAATATTTAAAACACTTGTTTTATAAAAATTAAGAAATTAAAAAAAGTATTTTATTGGCCGAAAATTATGACCAAAATTTTATTGTTGAGAAATATTTGATTGATTGATTGATGAAGATTTCATAAACATAAATAATTGAAGCTGCTTTAATTTTTGCGTAAGAAGAAGGCATAGAAATTTAAAATATAATAAAATTAATATTAAATACATATACTACATACAGCTTTTATTGCTGGTAGCAATTACAACAACTTTCAAGTGTTTCAAGTTAGAAAAAAATATTAAAATAAAAAATTTACATAGAACAAGAAATACAGTTGCATAAAACTACAGATAAAAATACAACAAACTAACTTGTAAAATAGTTTTTAATAAAGTTTCAAAAACAAAATACATATTTACAAGTACATATATCACATTTTAGGTGATGCTCGCATTTAGAAAAAAGATCTTTAAAGAAATAGAAAAGCAATAGAAATCAAAGTGTTGAAAAAAATAAATAAATAAATAAATTAAAACAAATTTCGACGTAACATCTTTTCTGCAAGCAGAAATTCAGATAAAAAAAAAATATTCCAAAAAAAATTCATGAAAAAAAAACAAAAATTTTAACTACTATTTCACGTAGAAATAATTTTATAGCAAATAGTCTCAGCGATAATGCAATTCTTTTTAAAAAAAATTAACAAAAATTTCTTGTAAGAATCTTCACCAACACACTTTCGGTCACATTTCTAGAATAAATTCACTTTCAGTCTTGGAGCAAATAACGATTTATGCAAATAAACTAACAAATCACCAATGCAATTCACAATCATGTTAACAATATCATAAACATATCACCAATAAATTTTTTATAGCTATTGTGAAAAAACTAATTTCCGTCAAAATTATGAAGAAAATTTTCTAATAACTTTTCTAAAAGCTTAATTTTTTTCAACGTTTTCAAATTCGGCTAAAACTAATTTGGCATTAAAATCAAATTAATTTTTCTCAATATCGCCAACACCGAGAACACGTTCATATTGCACGAATCCTCTTCTCCATGCGCATGAAGCATAACTCACCAACTTAAAATTACGAGCAGTCGCTTCAAATTGTAAAAAAGGAGCTTTTGATAAAATATTTTTTTTAATTTCTTTAATTTGTTTTTTTTTTTGTTGGCTTATATGAGAAATTTCACTTTCAACCTGTCCTTGAATTGTAAAAGGAAAAAAAAATTTAAAGCTTAAAACAAGATAATTGAGCTTTCGTATAGAATTGAGCTTTCGTATAGAAAATTGTTTCAAACAGTTAACGAAGTAAATTC